CTGCCACTGTATTTCACCATGGTAGGCACTACACAGAAGCTGTCATCATGGGTAGCTAGAAACCTAATTTGAAAGATAATCCACAAATGTCTGAAGAGTTATCTCCAATGTGTCTATTTTCTGGTGAATTGGGCATTACACTGAGAGAAAATTTTTAAGTTTACTGAACACTTAACTGAAAAATTCCTTAATGAGCAATACTGCAAACAGGACCAACAGCTTTAACATCTCTTCTGAAAAACAGTGTGCTATCGTAACTTGCATTTTAGCCCTCAAGCTAAAACACATGAAAAGTAGCGATGAAATTAAGAAAAAAAAATCTGAAAGGATCACTGGGTTCAGCGTGCACCCACTAGCTACTACCAGTTAAGCCAAGTGAGCTTTGCTGTTTTCTACTGGTTTGCATATAGACACAAAATTCCCTACTCTTCTTTCCACTTTCCAATAAGTGTACAGAGTTCATGTGCGTATATCCCTTGATGCATACGGTTTAGATATCTTCCAAATGGAAAAAAGGGAGCAGCAATGTACCTATCTGGAGTGTCAATCAAACTTAACAAGTGACCAATCAGAACAGGTCCAAGAGCATATATGTGTCCTATGAACACTTATATTTTGTCTTACAAATGCGCATGTGTGCGTATTAGTTTACACTGTCATTTTTTAGAGGCGGGGCTTAGAAAAAAGGTCAACTGAATTCAACTAGGAACTTCAAGATCTTCCACTGTTCAGAACATAGTGACTACTACCATCGTAGAATATCTATCTCTGGAAAAAAGCACATTAACCAACAAGAGGTTCTACTCAGTAATACAAAAGTTCATACTTACTTTCAACAGTTAGGTAAGCATGAGCTTCAGCCTGTCCCTGTCGGTTGTAGGCTCTACACGAGTACTTCCCAACCTGTTCTATCGACGCAAATTGTATTGTTACTATGTCACCGTTTAAAGAAACTGTTGCCCATGATGGTATCGGCCGGCCATTAAAACGCCACTCATAATTTGGTGGTGGGTTACCCTCAGCTTCACATTGAAAGTAAAGAAACGAGCCATCGTTGACCGTCTGATTGGCGGGTGGCGCAACAATAATTGGTGCCACTAAAAGAAAGCAGATTTGATTTGATATATTCAATACCTCTAGAAAGCAATTAAAGTGACCTACTTACTGCTAAGCACTATAGAAATATGGTTACTTCGAACAGCATTATTAATACAAAGTTAATAAATTTTATTACAGATACAAAGAATCATTACAAGGTCAGTTTACTAAGGAAGAGATATTGAAGATAATCACTAAAACCTTACTGGAATAAATTCCTAATTGGTTTAGGAAAATTTCCATATAATTTAATATTAAAAATTATTAAGTTAGGCACCATATAGTGTACTAGTATTTATTAGTTATTAGAAAAATAAAGGCAAAGGTAAAACAAGATCTTACCTTCAATAATGAGCTGCCCAGGGCTCTGTACACTACCAGCCTGATTGACAGCAATGCAGGTATATGAACCCTCATCCACTACATGTAGATCACTAATGAGTAGGCCTTGATTGGTCAGCTGGTAATGAGGATCATTAGGCAAGATGGTCAACTCAAGTCCATCCTTCAGCCACATTATATCAGGTTTTGGGTCACCGGTCACCTCACATGGAATTATGATAGAGCCAAACTCGCTACCGGTCACATTGCCTGGGGCTACACTGATCTGTGGAGCAACTGTTAAGAAGCAAAAATGTAAACAAAAGGTATCAATCCTTAAGCTTCAAGAGATTAAATATATTACAGGCTTCAGATTATCATATCAATAACTTTTCAAATACCAAACTTCAACTTAAATGATGGAATTTTGCTCTATAGATCATGTCTCTTCTTAAGGTTTTGGGCATGGAGATATCATGATAAAAATACAAGTGACCCACATGGTATGAAACCAGTAGGCTGGGATTGGAATGTAAGTATCTTATCCACCAACTAGAGCTTCACTCATTCGTTAGCTTTATTGTTTGTTTTTCCTAATTAATTCATTCATTCATATTAATTAAAGTAATTTTAAACTATTTATTGAGAAATGAAAACAAAACATTAAACAGAACACCGGCCGTATTCATATGTTTTACAGATAACATAATATTTGTGTTTTGACTGGATGCATTTGACTATTTACCACGTACTATGAAGAACATATTTAGCAAAATTGAATAAGTTATAAAATGTACGTCAGATGGAGAGGTAGAAAGAGCAGATGGTGTACAGATGCACTTAGTCAGAAAACATGAAGGCAGTTAAACATGTAAACAATTTTGTCAATGACTGCCAAGTGTCTTGCTTTAAGACGGCTATTAAAACCAGAACCAAGTTTCACGGATCAATGTTCAATACAGAATTTGCACATTTACCACATACTATGAATATATTTAGCAATAAATAACAACAGATGTGCTTAGTCAGAGAACATGTATACAGTAAAGGGTCAACTGCAAAGTGTCTTCTTTAAGACGGCTGTTAAAACCAGAACAAAGTTTCACGGTTCAAGGTTCAGTAGGGCAAATGAAAACACAGAACAGAGCAAGATGGAAAATTGAGAAAGAGGCCTTCCACCACCTGTAGTATATGGAAGAATATGATGTGAAGAAATAATATACTTTTTTAATCACCGTACCTATAACATCCACAAAGGCTGAGGTACTCTCTGATCCATAGACGTTGTCTGCTCGACATGTGTATGTGCCCTCATCCACAGTAGTTATGCTTATTATGTGTAACAATTGACCAGAATTCCTACAAATAAACATATTATTAGATTTGATTTCAAGGCTCATAAGAAATCCAAATAAATAAAAATTAAATTGTTGGTTCATGTAAAGTGTAGAGATAGGAGAATAACCCGTAACTCGCAGCATCATTGTGCTGAATTGTGTATGGGTATGGTCCATGACAACTAAGAGGCGCTTATAGTAGCTACATGTTCGCATCATTCCTCAATAACAGGGGCTGACAAGAACCATGAAATCAGGGTAAAGGCCTGTTTATACTTCAACGATAATGATAATGATAAAAAAGCTAAAAAGCAATTGTTGTGTCTTACTTTAAGACGGCTGTTAAAACCAGAACAAAGTTTCATGGATCAATGTTCAATACAGAATTTGCACATTTACCACATACTATGAATATATTTAGCAATAAATAACAACAGATGTGCTTAGTCAGAGAACATGTATGCAGTAAAAGGTCAACTGCAAAGTGTCTTACTATAAGACGGCTGTTAAAACCAGAACAAAGTTTCACGGTTCAAGGTTCAGTAAGGCAAATGAAAGCACAGAACAGAGCAAGATGGAAAATTGAGAAAGAGGCCTTCCACCACCTGTAGTATATGGAAGAATATGATGTGAAGAAATAATATACTTTTTTAATCACCGTACCTATAACATCCACAAAGGCTGAGGTACTCTCTGATCCATAGACGTTGTCTGCTCGACATGTGTATGTGCCCTCATCCACAGTAGTTATGCTTATTATGTGTAACAATTGACCAGAATTCCTACAGACATGTGTATGTGCCCTCATCCACAGTAGTTATGCTTATTATGTGTAACAATTGACCAGAATTCCTACAAATAAACATTATTAGATTTGATTTCAATCCTCATAAGAAATCCAAATAAATAAAAATTAAATTGTTAGTTCATGTAAAGTGTAGAGATAGGAGAATAACCCGTAACTCGCAGCGTCATTGTGCTGAATTGTGTATGGTCCATGACAACTAAGTTTTTACACTAGAACGATTCGATAACTATTTATCAGTTATGCGATAACATATTTTGACAAATCAAATCAGACGACGTCATAATCATGGAAAAACATTAAAATCGTAGTAGTAGCAACAATTTTATGGTTTTTCCATGATTATAATATGACATCATCTGATTTGATTTTTAAAAATATTTTGTTATCGTATACACGATAAATCGTTATCGAATCGTCCTAGTGTAAAAACTTCTCTTATTTCTTTTGTTTTCTATATGAACAATCGCTTTTTAGTTTTTGTTTATCCTTATCATTATCGTTAAAGTACTGTATAAACAGGCCTTAACCCCTACACTGCAATGGGATAATTAAATTGCATATGAACCATATATGTACACTGGACCTCCATTTAAGTCCTTATATCTACAATCAAATAATTAAAAAAATAATACTAAAACAATGTTTTTATGTTACATTTACAATTCTGTAAATAAGCCTACTGTTTAAAAATAAATATTATAATTACTCATGTTGTCACAACTACTAACACCACAACCTTATCACATAGGCCTAATCAATGATGATCCTCTGTCACTCTAAGGCCTTTGAATACCATCTTATTATAACTACATACATATTTTTTTACTATCAACTCTAAGTTAAAATCTATCAATAAATCAACATTAATGTATAGTTATGAATGTATTTTTGAAATCTTAAATGTGCTACAAAATGAATCAATCCAAATCAATCATTAATCATAATCAATTGAACATAAACACTAAACCCCAAATAACAATTATTCTATCATAATAAATAAATTATATACTCACAATATTCAATAACAATCAATCACTATCAAATATAATACAATCAATTAAACCACCAACCAACCAAGCATAATTAATCAATCAATAATAAACAATGAAATCAATTAATTTAATGTAATGTACATGATTTCCTATAACACATAAACAAAGTTGCAAAGAAATAGAATTAAAAAGAATTACAATCAATGAATTAAAATTGAATTACAATCAATCTATATATAGTGTTCTTACCCAATAGTGACCCTGTTTCCTGGAGAAAGAAGTTGATCATACTTATACCAGGTGACCACAGGTGTTGGTTTCCCAGCTACTAGGCACTGCAATTGTAAATCATTGCCAAGGATCACTTCAGTCATGTTTGGTGGCAATGAAATACTAGCAGCAACTGTGGACCAAAATATTATCATTTTATCATTTTTTAATTTAATTATACAGTACTTTAATCCAAAATTGATTGGCTGATTGATTGACACAGTGGCGGATTCAACATTTTTCAAAATTATTAAAAAGGTGAGAGAAAAATGAAAATTATATTCAAATATAAATATATAAAGTCAGAGAGTGCCATTTCTGGCCGTCTAGAGGTGCCATAATCATGCATTTTCTTACATCAGCCCCAACCATGGTGGGCTGAGGTGGTCTAGACCCTTTATCTGTGAAAATCCATCCCTGGGTCACCTCTACTTCGAATTTCTGGATCTGCCACAGGGAACAAACTCAATAATGCTGTATAAACTACTCTCATTTTAGGAGGCTTAGACTTTATAGTTTTTAGTCGTACGAGAATATTCCGATGTTTATTTTTTTAAAGTTTTAGTAATTAACAAGTGTCTGGAAAGTTTTTTGGAGTAAAATTTATGTTTGTTAGGTTACTAAATGTATAAGGTTCACCCTCAATTTAATATAAAAGTTTCAAATACAGCTACCGTATGTTGTTATAATACCTCTATAGCATTTCAATTTGTATTTATTTTAACTTGATTCATAGCAACTTGGTGTTTTTTTTCTTGACCCGTATTTGTAGCAATATATCACACTCGCTTGTTGACAATGACACTTTATTAAAATCTTGCGATTGAAGACAAGTACAAAGTGCCACCAACTACAACCCAAATCCCGTGGGTGCTTGTAGTGTTGATTGATGCATTAATACAGTATTAGGATTCAATATTCAATTCAATATAATTCATGGATACACAAAAGGAAGAAATGCATAAAGTTTAGTCTAGCCTAAATGGGTTAGGAGATAAACCAGCCAGAACTTCCTCGCACGATTCATCGTCTATCATTACTTTTTTTTTTAACCGCAGTGGTTACTGTCAAGTGACATAATGACTCAGCATTTAAAGATATTAAATGCTATTATGACAAGTGCAGACTGACCATTCACAGTAAAGGAAGCTGATGATGATGTAACTGTTCTTGGGAGATAGCTATTGGATGCAGTGCAGAAGTATTGCCCTTCATCTGACACTTCCACGAAAGTAAAGTGAAGGTCACCAGGGCCTAGAAGAAAAACAGATAGAAATCAAAGACAGAACAACAAGCTTTACAAAGACATTATTTAAAACATATGAATTTATCATTTTTCAGGTCGCCCTCCAATTTGAGACCACCCTTGGGACCTGAAAATTTGGGGTGGTCTCGGGGTTGGTCTCCAATTAGAGGGCTAGCTTTGTGTTAAAAGGTTGAAGATTGTTATTTTGGTCTTTGGAAAATGGTCTCGAATTAGAGGGGTCTCTAATTGGAGGGTGCACTGTATTCAATTAAGTTCAAATTTTATGTAAAAATATCATCATTATAGCGTTGCAGCTAACATGCTCTATACTTTTAGACAGTAGTTTATTTACATTTTTTTCAATAATGTTTTTATCAATTTACAAACAAAAACTCTTAAATTAATTGCCAATCAACTGGAAGTTCTCTGCAAAAAGATAATTATTATATTTTACTTATCAAGATTATTATATCTTTAACAAGTGCCTATATAAAGGTTTGGTGGAGTGAAGCCTCTTTTGTGGGTCTTAGATTATAAATTAAACATTGAAGTTTATAGCATATAGAGCGCAATATAATTGCTTCATGTTCAAGTTCAACTTTATTTATCCACAGGAGACCCAGATCAACACAGGGTTGTTCTTCCCTGGGGCCATAGTTTATTTGATGTTTCTTTACTTACTTCATAGATTTCCACATGCGCTTGTTGATTAAAAACTAGATTATAGCACTAGACAAAAGAACATATTTACCAAATATTTGGAATATGTTTTACCTACTTAGATATAATTCGTTTAAAACCTCATATAGGCCTTCTTGTAGTTAAACCTGTACAATGTATAAGTAGGTCAATACAGAAAAACATGGCTTCTGTATACGGTACTCTCATTGCCTGTAATTTTCAGTTGATTTTAACATTACACAGAAGTTATTTCCTTAGAGAATCTACAAGACAGTGTTCTACTTTGAAAGATTAATTACTGCTGCATTCTGTTAAAATAAAAAATCATGTTGATCTTAATTTGAACTACTGTACAACAGTTCTCTGGAAAAAATCTTAGTTTTTAATGTTGCTGGTAATTACCAATAATTACTTTAAATTGTTAGGAACTAAACTCAATTAGCTTGCATGCTTTTATTACACTACCCAAAATTAAATTGTTCCTGTAGTAATTAGATTTGAACTTAATTGTGAAGTAGTGTAATAAACAGAAAGAACAAATTAATCTAGTGTGCTACTATTTCCTTTATAAATTGGCTTAGTTCTCTTTCATGTCAGTTGAACTCTACAAGTTAAAACCTTAAAATTAAACATTAAATTTACACGTATATGAGAAAAAAATACTTACTGATGATCGACACACCTTGCGAGGGTATGTACTCTATGTTATCTTTATACCAGGTGATATTTGCTGGAGGAACACTGTAAGGCGGACGGCAGATAATCGTAGCCGACGAACCGACTAGAGTGTCTACATTAACAGGACTTGATACGAAGCTCCAATGCATCACTGCAAATCGAAACAATATGAAAATGTTTATAATTCACCACATTAAAAAGTATAAAACATAATGTTTCTAATAATAAAACTGTGTGGGATATTTCTGGCTTTCAATTCTGATTAGCGTTTCCTGTGATTTTTCTCTAAAGACAACTTTCTTATTCACACCGCAAAATCTACTTTCACTTGCTACTGAAATTTGGCATTAAAATCAAAACAACCTTTTACTGAATAACTATTGTTATTTTTTAAATAATTTTATTGATGGATTTTAGGGGGGGGGTAAGCATGTGAAACATCCCCTTTCCCCAAATTTAAGGCCAAAATTGCCAATTTATTTACTAAGAATAATATAGCTTTCTCCATCACTCAAAAATCATACATTCACCCATGTTAATAATAGCACTGGCGGCATGGCTTCAGATATGACTACCAGAGATTCTTTGCTCCTAACAAAGTAAACAAGCAACGTGCATCAGCACTTTGGAAAAACAGAGTTTGGCACTAAGAAGGTTATGGTTCAAGAAATGGCACTAATTGCAAAATAGTACACTTAGGAGTCAATATTTCCTTCAAAAATTACCTGAAAGCCCTGGGGCCATTCAAGCAATTTTCCCCAGGAAATAATGGCTCCTTGGTGTTTTACTTTCCAACACCACCCACAAAACTTCATAATAATTGCCTAATAACATACCCTGATGCATTTTTGCATAAAAGAAAGAAAAAAGTAAATTCAAGAATCTGAAAACAGATGAAAACTATTAAGGATACGTCCAACCAGATCCATAGCAAGCAGTCTCTGTAGTTAAGGTGTATATTTTGTAAAGACGAAAAAAAAATTAATGATGATGAGAACTTGTGAGAATGTGTTGAAGTGACCTTACCAGCAACAGTTAGTTGAATAGGATCTGTAGATACAGACCCAAGTCTACTTGTCCCTGTGCAGACGTACTGTCCAGAATTGTTTTCTTGTAATGTTTGGAAGTACAAGTCCCCGTTCGGCAAAATCTCGATGTCATCAAATACTGCAACAGTGACTCCGTCTTTGGTCCAGGTAATCGTTGGGGCTGGGTCTCCAACAATTCTACAAGGAAGCGTCTCTGCTGTGTTTACGGCTACAATTCTACTACTTGGAGGCTGGCTGATGTACGGAACACCAGGATTGGCTGAAAAATAAAGAGATGAGAGATGATGAAATCAATGGTGTTCACCAATTGCAACGACATAGTACTTTTAGAGTTGCTTCTTTTAGGTTGTGTTTTTAAAAGACCTTACTGTATGAAGAGATAAAGGCTACACCAAAGGATTGTTTTTTCTCACGGCAAACAATTGACACCACTTTAAATTTGTTAGCCCTTTTGTTTTTCCTTTGATATGCAAAAATAATTTTAAAAAAAAACAATATCTGTTAAAGACTTACAAATTTTGTTTGTATTTTTCAAAACAACTAAATGTCACTCACGTTGAACTATAAGATCTGCGTATGTACTTCTCATGGTTGTACTTGGCAATAACGCATTCTCAACTACGCAACGATACCTCCCTCCATCAATCGTCTGGACTGCATTAATCTGTAAAGTTGCAGATGTTTTTAATGAGTTTGCTGATCCATATCCTGCTTGACTGCTAATGCCACCGTCAAATCGCACACCGTCTTTTTCCCAGTAGATTGTTGCCAATGGACGACTGCTTCCTGATATACATTGGAAATTTACTGGCTCCACCTGACGATCAACAGCTTCTACGGATTGTGGGTGGAAGAATACTGGATCTAAGACTGAATGAGAGTAAACAGGAAGAGATTACTAATCAAGGTGTGTTAAAGTTTAATATGTTATTGTGAAAACAAAGCATGGAAATGGCAGATAAGTATCACACTTACCTAGGTACTGTATTCCACATGGATTTAAAATATTCAAAATGTTATTATCTTCCATTTAAATACACATAAATATCATTACAATTCTTTTAAAATAATAAAAGAATAAAAGTATTTAATATTATATCTATTTCCTCTCTCTTTTGACAGGTACATAACATGTAATGATGGTACAGTAAGCATATCAGTACCTGTATACTTGTAAAGAACTATACAGAGAACTATACCTTTTATATTAATTACTATGAATCTCTAGTGACATAATCTTGTGACATTGTATGACTATAATAAAATAGTGGATGGATAGTTTTACGATCAACTGGTAGATAAGTGCTCAAAGATACGCAGTAGCGTACATATGAAATGACCTACAGAAATTATTTTTATGTTGTTATAGTACAGTACTTTAATTTGGCCTACAGTAACTGATTTAATCTGAAATTTAGTCATTTTAAATTTTAACTGGAATATTTTATTCATTTTAGTAATTTTAAAATTTTAACTGGAATCTTTCTTTAACTCTTTTTAATATTTTATAAATGACTATCTTGATGTAATTGTATATTATTGTCTGTTTGGAGTTTTACTTTAATTATACTAGCCATTTTAATGTATATTTTATCTATGGAACTAATTTTTTTTTAAATAAAATTTTTAAAATGAAATTGAATCTGCATATAAAGTTTAATATAGTTTGAGGGGGGAGGGGGGACTGTTTTAGGTACAGTACTACTGTGGACAAGTAACGATCTGTAGATTATTAGTTACTTACATTCAGATTTTATTTATTGTCCATACAGTAAGGTAATTGAAATGATAACAAAACACAACAAAACTAGTCAACAACTCTGTGCTGAATACTGTAACCCAATGACACAAATTATACTGTTAAGGTTACTGTATGCTAGGGTATGTGTTGAACATCTGAGTTTAAAGAGCAGAATTCAATAACTAATTGCATACGTACAGTTAGTTTCAAGTTTTTTATTTATTTATTTTTTTATTTATTTATTCTTTCTTTTGACTGAATTTTCAGTAACACAGTAGTGCTTTTCAAAATTGTCCAGTTTTTTAACAAAGGAAAGAATATAAACAGAAGTAAAATATTAAATAGAACAAAAAAAGTATCAAAAAGAAAGAAAAACAACCCCACCCTCCACCCCAAAAAAAATTATACATTGCACGCTGAATGGCAAAAAGTTCAAATAGCAAAATAACCTTAAATAACAAACTTTAAATTATATTAAATTAGCACAAATGGTATTTTTGAAAGTGACTGTGGTCATAGTTGAATTTTTTCTGATTTTATTTGGTAGATTATGCCAAAGTTTAGCTGAGCAGTATTGAAAGTTTGTTTTCCTTGAGTGTTTTCCCAGTCTGGTAAGTCTATTAAAATCTTACTGCTTTGGCTACGAGTGCATTTGGGGTGGACACCATCATTAAACATAAACATTGAAGATAAATACTGTATGATGGTTCAATTGAATATTTTCTTGTTGATTAAAAAATGCATTGATGATAATGTTCTTATTCTTTGCATACAGTAAATCCTTAAAAATTGGCTGGTACTGTAAATGCTATAAAAACCTCTATAAAAACTAAAGTTTCATTGGAAGTTAGGCAAGACTTTTTTTATACCTTGTTTTGCGAACCTGCTGACTGCAAATATTGATGATTTCTAATAGAAATAAAATTTTATTTTTGGCCAATTAGTGCACCCTCCACCACGAAAAAGTGGAAATTTCAGGAAAAAAAATAAAATCTTTTTAAAATTTTTATTACGCCCTCTGCTGTCTTAAAATCTCCAGTGATACTGTAAGATATGTATATTTCTTCCTAATTATGTAAATTTGAAGCATTTACATTCACCAATAATATTTTATTTTTATTTTCTCCTCTGTCTGGATGATTTTGGCAAAACTATTTGCTAAATAAGAAAACAGAATTTTATTTTAATTTTTATTCCACCCTATATAATTCCACCCATCCAATAATGTATAAAAAAATAAGTATGCGAAACAAGGAATAAAGAAAGTCTCGCTTTAGTTTGATCCTTTCATATAAAAACATTAATGTTCTGACTGAATTTCAAACAAATCAGTAACAACATGAAAGCATGTGGCTTAGAATGATAGCAAGCCCACGCGATTATATCTGAAGTTATTGAAATATGTGAAGTTTAGTGCAAGGAAGTAGACTAAATATATATGACACCAAGGATATGCTTTGCGACACCAACTAGTTACAATTTGCTTCGCCACAAAACTAAAATTCAATACTGTATAAAAAATTCTAAAAAGTAGAACATGTTAGCATCTACATACAGTACTGACTGTATATAGTTACAATTAAAAATTCCTTCTATTTTCACAATACTTAAAAAAATTGACCTTCAATTTGAAGTACACCTTGACAATGATTATAAACTAATAAGACAAGTGTTAATTATAAATTATCTATTTATATAGCAAACGGTGACAACTGCTATTGGCACTATGAAAATTAAGACTATTTTTCCTACATTTAGATCAGATGTTTGAGCAATGCAAATGACACATACTCCCTTGGGCAAGTTCATGTTGATCCAGTTATTCTACAGGTTACAGTACTTTGAAATAATCTCAGATTTTTCGTTAAGCAGTGAATCTACAAACAAGTTTGGGATGTCATATCCTGTAAAAATATTTGGTACATAGAAATTTCTACAATAGAAATTTTGGAGAAATGACAGTATACAAATTGATGTGCGGAGTTCAGCCCCTTCAGCCCCTCCCTTGGGCAGATGATGGTACCATCACTGCTAAAGCTGTCCAGGAAGAATACTTTTAGGTGAACAGCATTACTTTGTTCATGAAGGTATTTACATGCTTTGTTAAATCTTCCTAAAATGTGCTACTGTAATACTGTGCACATCACAAACATTTTGACATTATGTACAATTAGACTGACCACATCCACGAACGCAAACAAAATCTCATTTTAAACAGCAGTACAGTACGATTTTATCAATTTGATAAAGGTAGTTACACTTCGTCTCGGTCAAAATTAATCAAACATGAACACTGCTTACATCGTTAATCAGATTAATCAGGTTATAATTGAAAATAAACGCATGAACTTTCATGCGTTATAGAGCACTGTACGTGAAAGATTTAACTTGACATAGACTACGAATAATTACTAATCTTTTATGATATCTTTGCAATAGATAATTTGTCATGCTTATTGTACACCTGTTCATTTAATTCAATTTCATGATACAATTATCAATTTTAATTTGACATCAAGGTGACAACAGATCTGTAGACATCTTAACCTAACTGTTGATGACCATGCATGGGTGATTTTTTTTTATAACTTACAAGCAAAGTAGAGATTTGCAGCTACGCTTTCAATCAGCTCAATGATTCTGGTCGAATCCTGCAGAGTGGCCACACATGAATACAAGCCTTCATCCTGCCTCTCGGTGCTAGTAAAATGTAAGGAGCCATTTTCGTACATGAACACACGACTTGATGACGATAATGGGTAATTGTTCTTTTTCCAATGTATTAAAATACTGCCCCTGTTCTGGACATCGTTAGCTTGACAGTTAAATATAACAGGGTTTCCTAATACTACAACAGTTTCAGTTGGTTCTATTTGGAAATCTGTGAAGATGATAAAATACTGAACTTTTAATTAACATTCAAACACAAACACAGAGAATGAAAGCGAACAAAGGACACAAATTTATAAAATGACAAATTACAAATGAAAACTAACTCAACGAGGGGAAAGATACCTACAAACCTTAATTAAATTTTATAATATCTATTTGTACTTTCATTATGAAATCCTAAAACAATTATAAAATATATTTTTTTTAATTATCTTCTTCGCTACAGTATTAGGTTGTTAAATATTGTATAAATTATTAATGAATTAATATAATATACAGTATAATACTGTATATTATTACAATTATAGAGAAATGGCATTCTTACACAGCCTAAATTGTTATTTTTACTGTATTTTTGTATTAACCTGTTACTAGGTTTTTCTAATTTCTATTTGCTATTTAATTAATTAATCAGCCAATTACTATAGTAATCAATCAATCATTCAAAAAAAATCTGTTAATGTTTTTATGACAACATATCACTAGATTAGCACTGTGTTAACAAGATAAAAATGGTCATTGTAATTGCATCTGTACAAATCAAATCCAGAAAAATATTACCCTGTACAATAAATAACAATCAATTTCAAAGAAAATTGTGAACAAATTCATCAAATAACTAAAAAATATATAGGAAATTATGAAATTAATATTGGGCGGTGAATCATTCGTAAGGGAACAGCCTTGACTGGATGTGGTTCCTAACATTGTAGCATCAATCACTTGACGATTAATTGATTTTAATGGAAAAACTTGAAATTATGGTGTAAACTTATCTTTTCAGAAGGATGTTGACAATATTAAATGTTTAATCATTACAGTAAATGTATTTAATCTTATTTGATTTACTTTTTGTGGATGGATTATTAAAAACAAAATTGACAGAACTGAAGAATGAATAATTGGTTATGTCAAAAAAGGTCAACAATAATATAATATTTCAGCAGTTGTTCATTATAACATACTGGACATTCATTACATTAGGCATTGTTAATCCATCCCATTTGTTCCCATATTTTCAAGTTGACAAGCATCCCAGATCTGTACATCATACAGTAGACTACTGAACATGAGGTATGGGCCTATGGCAAAACGTTGTGTGGCAGTGGGCCTGGGTGGCACAGAATGTGGGGTGGAAAAAGGCTTGGTAGCAACCGGGCGGAAAATGTACTAAATTCATAAATAAAATGTACATATAATTGATACATAAAAAGATGGACAAATATCAAATAAATAAATAAATAATAAATCTAATTATGTAACTAAAATCAATATAAAGAAATAATACTTACTAAACTGTGCAGTTAATGGCTTGACAGCGAAACATATTAAGAGAAGCGCTAAAGTTCTCAGTTCTGACATTGTCGATTAGTGTTATGGGTTGGACACTGAAAAAGAACAGAATTCAATCAGGGGAAATTTTTGAAAACATAATTTGTATTAATAATACAGGCAGTAATTGAAAGTAGCAATACTGTGAAGCGCTTAGAGGCCTTATTGGCATGACAATAAGTCTAACATATTATTATTTTACACAAAAAACATACAGTATGTAATATTATGAATATCTGATACAAATTAAAAAAAACAACAAATAATACACATTGATGAATAAATTAAGCAAGGAAAAATAATTTATCTATTAAGAAAAAAACACAAATCTAATCTAATTTATCTTCAATAATCAACACTTTCCATTCCCAGTTTCAATGATAATACCAAGATTTATACTGTAGATGTACTGTACAGTAAACTTTGATGTCTCCGACCCTACCTACAAAGGGAAAACCCTCAAAAGTTCAATTAAAAAATTTAACAGCTTAACTTATCAATACGTTTCTAACCAAAAACAGATTAAAAAAGAAAAAAGTAAATAAATCTACAATTTTTTTTTTCCTAGTACTGTTGTCACAGACTAAAACTACTGTAAGTACTGTATCGTTTTATTAATAGGTCCATGGTTTTAAAATTAAATACAGCCACACCAGTATACATCTGATACAGTACTATTGTAATACTGTAATCTGAGACCATACTGTATGCTAATTATCCATGACATACTGTATGCACGACCTGCAAATGAGTAGGAATACTGTAACGTTTTATATTTAGATATGCGATGACACAAAACCATATCGAGATGAAATAGCGTATCACAATATACAGTAACTACTATAGCGTGCTACCTAGATTGAACCAGTTGACGGGTATGCGTGTGTGCTCAAAAGAACAATTTCTGCAAAGAAGGATTCAAGTTAAATTTCCCATCACAGGGCAAAAGAACGTCCAACGATATTCAAATACTATGTATATAATTTATTAGGCCTACAGTACATGCAAACATCCCTCACTATCATTTACACTACATATCTGGTCCTCACAGATCTAACAGTATCACTCACAATTATTTATTAGAACCAAAATTACAAAACTGGGTTTTAGGAAGGTAGTGCAATAATAATAAAGAAGAGATTCACACGTACCGTAAGTCAAACCAGGAAATTAAAACAGTAAATAAATCTGAGTCATTTGAATTAATAGAAAGGTAGGATGTATTGTAAAAATTTACAATAAACAACAAGGCATATTTATTTATGGCACAATGGATAGAACAGTAGGCAATCCAAATTTATCCAATTATTTGAGGAAACTAGAATTTATCTAATAAAACATTCACAATACAGGTATAGTACACAGCAAGTGTTATCATCTTGTTTTTCATTCAGAGGAAATTTAATTCATATACAGTACCAAGTGAATATTTAATGATGAATTACATACCATACAGTAATGACCTTGATCTAAAATAGCATACAATTTGAATGTTATTAAGCATACAAATTTCCTTATTGTTTTTAACTTAATTATGTTTTAATTCAAAACTAAATATGAATTGAGAGAAAGGTTATCAACAAGGTAATCCTATAGGGCATCACTTTGGAGTACATTCAAGAGTATACATTATTATTTACCTGTACTGTACTTTATTGAGTGATACAGGGTAGGTAGTGGCGTATTTAGGAGTCTTGAATGAGTGGGGGCATGAAGGTGGAGTTGGGCTTGCTGATTAAATGAGGGGGCACTATGTTGCAAAATAAAGTGATTTTCAACTACCTGGGCATGATTTTTTTGCTTGCTTCGGACATTTTCAATAAGGGGGAGGGGGAGCGACATGGAAGCGAGCACTTTTGGGTGAGGGGGCGTGCGGTCTTGGGCACCCCTAGTGTTGATACAGTATGCCACTGGTGATAGGTGATTAAATGTGACATTCTGAACAATGAAGCTTAATCACTACCTGCCCTCAATACCAGATTTCACTAGAGTGACAACTCCCTTTCTGCAAATACTGAGCTTGTACTGAAAGATTAAAATTATAATTATACTAATAATTAATTCAAAATAACAAGTAGATCTTGTTTGCTGTACATTTTTAAAGCAAATAATACTTATATGTTTAACTTGTTTTCTTTTTTTTTAAACATACTGATCTAATACCTGATTAACACATGCCAAAAACTTACACAGGATGTGTGGAAAATTTAGAAAACATCCACTATACAGTTCTTCTGTGTGAAGATATCCGATTCTGGCTAAAATTAGCAAGTGTCCCTTTTACAGTAATATCCTTGTAAGAAAATCAGAACTCAGAGGCTAATGTTATAACACTCCCAAGATACAGTATTTAGCATGATTTGTGCGCATACTCACAGGGGCGGAGCTTATGCTACCAGATTTCACTAGAGTGACAACTCCCTTTCTGCAAATACTGAGCTTGTACTGAAAGATTAAAATTATAATTATACTAATAATTAATTCAAAATAACAAATAGATCTTGTTTGCTGTACATATTTAAAGCAAATAATACTTATATGTTTAACTTGTTTTTTTTTTTTTTTAAACATACTGATCTAATACCTGATTAACACATGCCAAAAACTTACACAGGATGTGTGGAAAATTTAGAAAACATCCACTATACAGTTCTTCTGTGTGAAGATATCCGATTCTGGCTAAAATTAGCAAGTGTCCCTTTTACAGTAATATCCTTGTAAGAAAATCAGAACTCAGAGGCTAATGTTATAACACTCCCAAGATACAGTATTTAGCATGATCTGTGCGCATACTCACAGGGGCGGAGCTTATGCTTGGGGGTCATGCTAAACTTCATTGGGTGACTACAGATACTGTACAGTACAGTACAACTACAGTACTGTATTTCTCTGCACACATTTCATTCAGCGCTGTATTCAAAGCACTAACCATTTTCAAACTGAGAAGGGGAGCATACAGTACTTGTTATTTTAAAAAATAAATATGGCACTTTATTTATTGAAATTATAAAATGTAGTGGAGGACGTTGGGATGGGATACGTCGAGTTTGAAATCCTTTTGCATGAAAACTGAGAAGGGAGTATACAGTATTTGTTACTTTAAAATGGCACTTTATGCATTGAAATTATAAATGTAGTGGCAAAACGTTGGGATGGGGGCACGTTCCATGTCGAGTTTGAAGTCCTTTTGCATGATTACAGAGAAGGGAGCATACAGTAATTTTTATTTTAAAATATCAATATGGCACTTTATGTATTGAAATTATAAAATGTAGTGGCAGAACGTTGGGATGGGGGCCTACAGTAATCCCTGTCAAGTTTGAAGTCCTTTTGCATGATTATTCATTTTAAATGCCAAAAATGATAATAGACCTACAGACAGGACAGAAGGAAATGCCGAGTTAGATCGTAAATAACTACTGTGCCACCATCAATTACTAACTTGCAAATTTGCTAATACTATTTAAGATGCTCTGTAGAGTGGAGTTGTATAGTACAGTAATGTACTGTAGCTTAGTGATTACCTACAGTAAGCGTGATTTTTCAATGGAGGACTAGGGATGTGCAAGTATTTTTTACATCCCCTACATAATTAAAGTCACAGAATAAGGTTAATTATTCTCAAAATCAAGTACAGTATCAGAAATTAGCTTTGATGAGAATTTGATGGAATTACTAACGATATTGTAGAGCAATCTTGGGAGGTCTGATGACAAACAAAATAACAATGGTAACCAAGGCCTTAACCTTTAAGTACTGTACAACTTTACCATGAATATTATAATGGACTTATAATGGAATCAGAGGGCAATTTATCATTATTTGTACTGTATGTAAATTTATTTAGTATTGAAATTATTATTATTCTTAATAATTAATCTATTCTTTATTATTATTCTCAAATTTGTATATAATCTTTTAACTTGTTAATGTTTGTTTTTTGTAAATATGCTCTTGTATTGTCGAGGGCACCTTAAAATCAGCTCACGCTGAATGGGTCACCCTCTTGAAATATGGTTGAATAAATAAATAAATTAAACACTTTTTCATTTGCATAAATTAAGAACAGGAAACCCATGAAATTCATATTTTAATAGCTCAATTAAACTTGTTCCTTAAAAAAACCCCATTATTAAACTGCCATCATAAAATAGATGCAAAATGCATTCACACTCTATGGTACAATAGTGGTTATCTGGTACAATTCCTCCTAAGAAATGTGCAATAAAAAAAATACTATACCTAACATTACAAACGCTCTTCTGTAAACTTCTAAATTTGGAAATTATTTTGTTTTTGATATGTTATATTGCTGGTGGAAAAAAGGATGGTTAAGCCCCTTTTCCCCCACTTTTTTTTTAAAATCTGTATCTCATTAATTATTCCCAAGTTTTTCATCAAACTTTTTGTATAAAAATCAGGTGTACAACATCAAAAATGTTTTCCCTCCAGATACTGGCTTTAAATGAGCAATACTTAACTATAAATTGTTGTAGTGATATGGATTTTTACCTGCCAATCTGGCCATGGAGGTATTTCCTACCTTTGTGAACAGAATACCAGACTGTGAAATAAGGGAATAAGGTATCTACCTCTCAAAAATTACGAAATTTATTGACTCATTTTGAAATAAAAGGGCTGACTTCTACACAAATTTTTCAAAAAAATTAAGCCTTGGCCATACTTTCAATGCGATTTTGTTTGCAAATTTTGAGTACTGTATTCGAATACCCATGCAAATAAAATACATGGTATGGTCTGACCTGTTGCAAAGGTAATCAGTGATGATACGAAACATTAAAGACTGTGATCTGGAATTTCGATTAAACGCTGTGATGTTTGTAATTCAAATTAATGTAGATCTCAAATAAAAGCTCAAACGCATATTCAAGGGCAACATTTACCTAAAAAATTATGTTAGGCACTTTTAAAGCGGAACAATTTTTTGATTCATCTTTTTTAGTGAAGATATTCAAAGACCCATTACAATTTTTGTGTAGCCACTATTCATGGAAAGGTCATTATCAATGATCACAATGTAAACAGAATCTACAGTATTATTAATAATAAAAGAAAAATAATACTAATAATAGCCTAGGCCTAGGCTACCTAGCTAGGGCCCTAGTCCTGTAAATCACTACAGACAGTAGTCAGAATAAAATCATTGATATGTAAACCGTAAACGTATAGTTTTACATTCTACATTTTAATGAAAAAAAAATAATGAAGTTACGCACCATGAGGAGACAAAGCCCAGGCAGCCAGCACCCGAATCCAGTTGGCACTACAGCTTGTTGTACTCTCAGTCTAGCAGTCACCTCCACCTACTACTCGATCGATATACACACATGAGTCAACTTTACAAATACGATTCGCTTTGCCTTGCTTGGTACACACACACACAGTCACAGGCTACTCTTTGATTACGAACTACCAACAACCGGCGTTTTTACTGTGCACACTTGATCCGACGCTTTTTGACATCTAGCGCAAAATTATCTTATTCGCTTAAGAATGGAGAGCACCTGACATAGTAATAATTGTTAATCCATTGATAAAACTGAAATTACTAACCGGTGTCAAATTAAAATACACTACAAAATGGTCAATAAACAACAACCTTAGCGATCGCGTCTAATAGGCTTCATTTTCCAGTCGTTGTTACTATGAACAAAGTGATTTTGTTGATGTTCGTAGCCTCCCTTCCTGCACTTGGAAGTGTAATAGGATCGAAAAAAACGTGCTTCTTTTCATTACCTTTTTTACTCCACCACCAGTACCCATCGTGTTAATCAAACACCAACACCATTACTTCCATCTTCTCCGTCCAAGGTGAAGATTCTTTTAATAAATTTCGAGCAAAATCTAGGGCATAGTACAACTTGAACTAGCTAGACCCTAGCCTGGCTGGGCACTAGCTACTCTAGTTTAGTATGTGTCGTCATCCCGGGTATTCGTCATCCAATCCGTGCCTGGCCTAAACCTAAATTAACTAGCTAGGTTAGTGGTATGGTGCTATTAGTACAGTATTTGGCTACATTACATAGGCCAAGGGTGCCCTGTATTAGCAATGTCGGTGCTAGCGGAGGTACAGTGTAGCTACTGTAGGCTTGACTTTATTATTAGAAATGATAACTTAATAAAATTTATCTAGGCCTAAACAACAAAACAAAACAAAACAGGAAGGGTGCACATAATATTCCATTGCACAGTTTTGCAGACTGGCGAAGGATATGTATAACTACAATACTATAGTAATAATAAAAAGTAATAATAATCTAATTAATTATATTAATAATAGTAATATAAAAGTAATAATCTAATATTAAAATATAATAATAAGTAATAAATGTAACTATTGTACTTAATAATGATAAGTATAATACTGTAGTACCATATATATACGTGCATATAAGGCAACCCCTGAGTTTGAGAACATTTTTGAACAATATTTGTATGTTGTGTGTATAAGACGACACTCTCCCCCTGTTTCACGGTTGGAATTCCTACTTTTTTTCTGCTTTTTATGGTCCTGATACTGCATCTAGCTGGTGAAACATGGAACCAAATGTAAGGCTAATCTTCAAAATAATACATTTCTATATAGATTCTAAATGTTTATCAAAATCTTATTTCCCCATATTTAAAATTGCGTTCATTCATGCTAACATTTAATAGCTTAATGCAGTAGTAAATTTGCTTGATATGGACGAACCATACAGAAGATGAACATGATTTTAAAAATTTAAAATTTGTATGTCATGCGTATAAGATGACCCCCTGTTTTTCAATCGTAATTTGCTATTTTAAGCCTCGTCTTATCCGCAAGTATATACGGTAATAATTATAAGTAATAATAATCTAATGTAATATTAATAATAGTAATATATAAAAATAATAATAAGTAATTATCTAATAAAATGATAGATATTATTAATATCGTAATAAATATATGTTCTTGACGTATTGTTGTTATTTTAATGATCAAATGATAGAGAATTTCCTGGATGGTTCACTCTAGTGGTTGATTAAATAAAACTGCATTTGTATCCAGAGGGCATGGATGTGTTTAGCAACCAAGATCTGAACAACGATTTCCAGCAAGCTGCTGAGCATGTGAAATCAATTGTGGGATCTTTGGCTGATGAGCAACTTCTAAAGCTGTATGCACGATATAAACAGGTACTTCTTCCAGTTGAGTAGAAACTTCATACTTGTAGTCTACAGCACTTCTAATAGTCTTGCCTAAGCTTACTCTTTTATTTAATTTTTTTTTTGGGATTTGTTTCATTGTGATGATAAAAATGATAAAGAACAAAAGTAGAGAAATTATTGTACAAGTGATATACATTGCATTGAATATATCTAAAATAATAATAGTTGTAGACTTGTATTATAAGTGTACTATTTATGAATCATGTTTTCTAAATATATGCTATAATGCATTTTTACGTGCACCTGGTATTTTACTTTTTTTTTGTTTTAGATCAAAATACAGTAATATGATTATTGTTGAATTCTTGTTATTTCAGGCTACAACAGGAAGATGTAATATTCCAAAGCCGCACATGTTTGACTTCCAAGGGAGATCTAAGTGGTAGACGATCACTTTTCTTATACAAACTGTACTTATTTTTAGAATGAAGGAATGTGTTAATCTGGTGTGTATGGGAGTTTTAGGAGTGCTTATGTTAGACTAAAGCAGCATTTCTAATGAAACCACAGGTTCTATGGATAGTAGGCCTACTGTTATAGTGGTATTTCTTTTGATTGTTATTTCATTAATATTTAAAATCTTATCATATAGATGTGATTTTTGACCAAGAATCTCATAATTTATTTAAAAAAATGTTAATCTCATATTGATTATAATACTTTACATCATTGTTCAGTTGTTTATCATCTCCTAATTGTGTTTAAAGTTTTTTCCCTCCAGAGGGCTCCCTTTCATTATCTTATCAAAGCCATACATAGTCCTATTCTTGATCAGTTCATGTTGCTTGTTCCAGGAATGCCTGGTCACAGCTTGGTGATATGAGTTCAGAAGATGCAATGGCAGAGTATATCTCGGTGCTGGATTCATTGGATGGGACTTGGAGGTCAAAAATTACTGAAGAAAAAGGGGTAACACAGTCTACTTCCTTTGGAATGTCTGTCAGTACAATGAAGAAAGGCGAAGATGAAGTATTAAGGTATGGAAACTGATGAAAACAGATGGTGAAGGATGAGCTGTAATTCATTTCCTGTGTTCACATTTAATAATTAATCCTTTTAAATACTGGTGATGTGACTGCAGCTATATAAATTTAAAAGTAATTACTGATTTTAATCATCAAATCTTGATGGAGCTATCTCTGAATTTGTACAGGGACTGATATAATGACTGATATGGTCGCTACCTTATAAAACTTAGGCTGTTTATGACAGTTGGCAGAGTCTTGGAATGGTCTCTGGTCTTTCAGCAATTTGCTAGCTAATGAAAATCATAGTTACTTTTCTGTTTGTGTTTCAGTGATAGTGACAAAACTGTTTTTGATTGGTGTAAAGAAGGTAATTTAGAAGAACTGAAAAAGCATATAGCAACAGATGATACTATCATTAACAAAAAGGATGAAGAGGTTGGTGTCATTATATTAGGTGGTATTATTTTTGTGTGTTTATGAACTCTTAATAATAATGGCAATGTTTGATAATTATAGTACAATTAATAATGCAACCTTATTCCATGGATAATAAATTTTGAAATAATAATACAGCAGCTACTATGCGCCATTTATGTACATGCTGTTCCGAGGTCCAGAGAATCCTGACGAAAAGAATGTTCTTTTCTTTTTTTTTTCAGTTTTTCTCGTTGGAAAAGCAATAAACAAAGTGAGGCTTAATTTTTAGACGCAGTTTAAATGTATTACTAATTTGGTTTATTTTAATTATACTTAAATTTTTCCTCTACAGTAATTCTAATTCTATCCTTTTTTGTTCTTTTCCCTATCCTTTTCTTTTGAGCATTGGATTTATATTGACACACAACCATAAGCGTAGATCCTGGGGGGATGGGGATATATCCCCCCCCCCAATATTTGACAAGGGGGGATAGTCCATTGTATCATCCCCCCAATATTTTGACTATGTATGGGATAAAATGGAGCTTTACACACTTCAAAAGACTGTCACAGAAATAATTTGCACTGTCTTATGCACTTACAAAGATGAAATTTAGCATAACGTTAATGTTGATAACAAAATTATTTTATCTGGTACCAATCTAAGCTCTTCTTTCCTTAGATATTAGATGTGCTTGCAAAGAGAGCCACATTTCACACTGAAGGGTGTGTACAACATCAGTAATGTTCTGTCAATTCCAAGAATGTTTAAGGTTATATCAGTTGATGAGGAATTTATTGATTAGGCCTATAATAGCAAATTGCATCAATTTATTTTGCAATTTTAAACAAGGTTTCCAGCTTCAGAGTGGGGTACATCCCCTTGTCCGCACAAGGGCACACATTGGCGCTAACACCAGGCGCGTAACAGGAGTCTTGGGTCAGAGTTGGTATTTATTTCCCGGTTAGTAATTTACCATACCCACCCCACTCCATAGGCCACACAAGTGTGTTTGAAACTAAATATAAGCTTTTTCATCGTGGTTTTATTTATTACAAACATATTCTTTCACCATCAATACACATTGAGGCCCTTCTTTTAGGTTAAAACAATTTATCTTAAATTTGTCTTTCTTGAGTTTGGGACTATTATGTGTTTAAATAACTGAAAAGGAAAAACCTATAAAAGCGAAGCGTGCGAAATTTGAAGTTCTTAGGCACTTTCAGGGGATGAAAAGGGCATTTATAAAGGGGTGTGGAAGATTTTCCAAAGATAGATATTTTCCCCTTGTCCCCCAGTGGTTACGCCATCGGGCAGCATAGATCAAAGGAGTTATGACAGTTTTTGAAGTGGAGAAGGGGTTGCAGGGTGTTGTGAGTCTGGTCATTATGATATCTTCCTTTTTATTCTTGTCTTTATTTTTCTCCTTTCTTTTTATTTTCCTTTCCTTTTCTTTTCCTCTTCTTTCTCTTTCCCTCCCTCTCCCCTGTTTCTTTTCTCTTATTACCCAGCCCTTATACAAGTTTATGATTTAATTGCAGGGTCTTTGTTTATTGCATTGGTCATGTGACAGGGGATTTGAAGACATTGTGCGATATTTACTTGCACAAAAGGCCAGCATTGACCAACAGGATTCAGACGGCCAAACAGCATTGCATTATGGTAGGCTGCAAATCATCTGATTATTTTGTTCATATCGTCTAATTGTCCTTTCTGTATATTATTGCCTTATTCGTACGAACAGTATTCAACTTTATCAAAATTGGAAATTAACAATCTCAAAAAATACTCTTCATTAATAAATCATGAAAGATTTTGATACTTCTAGATTCATAATTTGTTTGAATTAATCGTTCGTATACATTTTCAGCATGCACATGTGAACGTAATGCGATAGTTGAGATGTTACTGGAACATGGTGCTAACCCGAATGTTAGAGATACAGTGGACTGCGTGCCAGCTGATAACACAGAGAACCAGCATATCCATAGTCTACTTAAAACAATGTCTACGAGCTGTCCCACATGACATTATGATGCTTTGTAGTTAGTACCCCATCCTTAATAATCAAGAGGTTATGATTTTGATTGCAGCATATGTGAATTCTGTTGGCTGTACTGCAATAGTTTGGGAATTTAGGTCCCTGTAAAAAATATGTTCTTTAGGTAAGACTTTTTTATTACCTTTGTTTCGCGAAACCGCCGCCGGCTAATAACGATAATTTTGAATGAAAATAAAATTTTATTTTTGGCCAGTTCGGGCACACGCGCCACTAAAAATGGAAATTTAAAAAAAAAAGGGTTTTTTTTTTATTTTTATGACGCCCACCACTGCCTTAAAATCTCCAAAAATAAGATATATTTATTTCTTCCAAATTATATAAATTTAAAGCATTTAACCATCCCATTACTACACTGTTTACATTCACCAATCAAATTTTTTTTTTATTTTCTCATCCATCTGGATGTTTTTGGCATAACTATTTTCTTATTTTTATTATTTTGCTCCCTCCCATGACAAAATTTTAAAAACTAAGTTCTTAAAACAAGGTTTAAAAAAGTCACGCCTTACTTGATAGGACCAAACTGGTGCCAATGGCCATCATTTTTCTAAGTGTATGAGCCTAATGTAGAGTATAAATTAATAATTATTCATTATTCGGAGAAAACCCACCTCTGTGTGCTTGAAAAGAAAAGTCAAAATCAAGTACACTAAGACTTTAATGTTCCAAAGGCATAAATTTACAAGACTTAAATTACTAGCATATTGTTTTAACCATGTTGAATATGCATAGGGAGGGCAAAAAATATTGCTCTCAAAGTTAAAGATATAGTTTTTTATGAGCTAATTTTTTAAATTTGAATATATTATAAATTAGATATGTTAAAAATGTACTTTTAACTGTGTATTTATTGTATTCATGTTGTAATTGTTTGATACTAAAATTATTCTAGTTCTACTTTATGAGAATGAAGAGTAAGTGTAGATGAACGTATATTAAAATTAATTCTGTAGATATGGGCTTCTGTAACATAATATTAAACAGGGCCAACATTTTGGGAGGGGGCCCCACTAGCGTTCCTTTCCGATGGACTCGAACAAGAAACCATTAAACTATGCTGTTTGTTACAAACTATAAGTTACAACAATTTATTCATCAAGAACATCTATCACTATCACATAAGAGCAGTGGCGCTGAGTGGCCAGGGAAACCGGGTTATGTGCCGCAGGGGCCTGAGCCCAGTAGGGGCTTGAGATAACTAGGTAGAAAATAGTAAAATAATATAAATACAAGTTATTAAACGTATACATTTATCCAGTATCATGTGTTTTTCCCACGAAAATTGTGAATAAAGCTGACCGTTTATCCATGAAAGCTGGTATTAAATCGTTTCTAATTCTTTTTCATGAATATTTTCATAGCTACTACTAATCTAGAGTTTATTAGGACCCATGTTATTATTGAACGCCTATGACAGTAATTATTATTTTTCAAAAAAAATATTGAAAAATAATGCTACCTGCATTTTTAGTGCGACCCCTGTTAAGCTTGGGCCCCAGGGAGCTTACCATGCCCCCCCCCCCATATGATCTGTTAATGGTAGTGCCTTTCAACATAAGCGGTCGACCTAGCATACCAGGATTAACTCCACCTGACCACAACTAGAGCACGAATAGACACAAAACTATCACTAATACAGCAACAATTTTGATATGTGAATATGAAAGTGTTAAATATATTAGTGCAATACAATATTACATATCAATATGCAATTCACAGAAAAAATAC